GACCCGGACCCGCGTCTGCTGGAGGAGGGCCAGGCGAGCCTCCCTCCCGCAGGCTGGCAGAGGGGGAGCCCGGGGGGGGGCTTGTGGGAAGGGTCGCTACGGGTGGGGTCCCAAGGGCGGGGGGGAGAGAGCGGGGCAACCAGTTTGGGCCAGTTGGCTGGAGCCAAAGAGCTCCAGGAACTTGCAAAAAAAAAAAAAAGCTTGGCAAGGTCCCGGGGCCCAAAGAGGCGGAAGGGCCAGATTGGGGAAGGCCCCCCCAGGGCTGGCCCCGTCCCCAAAAGGAGCCCCCAGAGAGGTTGCCGAACCCGCCCCGAACGGAACCCCTTTGCAAAGGACCCCGGAGCGGCGCCACCCCAGCAGGCAGTTGCCGGTGCTGCTGATCCCTCCCCAGTTAAAAAGCTGCCTTTAAAAAAATCCTACTCCCCCCCCCAGGAAGGAGGGCCGCCGTTGTGATCCTGCATGAAGCCCTGCTCTGACCGCAGCAGGCCCTTTGGGGGGGGGAGGAGGAGGGGGAGGGAGGGAGTGAAAGATTTTGCATTTGGGAGGAAACGCACCCGGATTCTTCCAGCGCACCCCAGCTCAAGAGGAGGAGCAACAGGATTTTTGGCTGTCCCGGATTCTGGAAAGAAAAAATTGGGAAAATTCACACAAATTTATCACAGTTGCTCCTCTCTTAGCTGCTTGGGGGCAGTTAGGCCTTGGTGGAATGGGTTATTTTTGTATTTATTTACTTTACATCCTGCTTTTATTGTTTTTTCAAAACCAGGGGTCCCCAGTCCACACACAAACGAGCAAAGCCGCATCCATGGGATGCAGTCAGCACACAAAACCACAGAGTCTCCGGTCCATGGAAAAACCTTTCTCCAGGGAACCGGTCCCTGGTTCCCAAATGGTTTGGGGGGGGGCTCTGTTCTAAACTACTCAAGGAAGCGAAGGTATCCGATACGCATTCCTTCTCCTCTTTTCCCCACAACAATTGGACTGGCCCAAAGTCACACAGCCGGCTTTCATGTCTAAGGCGGGACTAGAACTCGCAGCCTCCTGGTTTCCAGTGTGGTGCCTTAACCACTAGACGAAACTGGCTATATAGAGATGTGTGAAGCATCACACTCGGATATTGTCAGTTGCTGTGTCCCAATCACACAAGGAAACCATGAGGAGTGAGCGACCGGGTGTGAACAGGCTTTTGCTGCAAATGGGCCCCGTCAAGAACTTTTGTGGCGAAAAGCTCCATTCTCAGCTTGAGCCAAAGAACTTTCTGCAGAAAATTCCTTGGCTCAAGCTGAAAATGGCCATAAGCTGGTGGTTCCTTGCATGCGACGGTCGTACATGCGAGGACCAAGTCGTAAATCACTTTTTTTCCCCCAGTACCGTTGTTACTTCAAACAGTTTGCTGAATTAAGTTGAGAATTATTTGCACTTATATTCTGCAGGGATGCAAAATTTCCCCTTTTTTCCACTGAAATGAGTCATGAATTGCCGTGAATTTCATGGCAGAAATCGGGCATATTAGTTCCTTTACCCTGCCTGGATACTGAACTTTGCAATTGGCTGTTTGTTATTTTATTTTATTTTATTTATTTATTTTTATTTAGTCCATGTCTTACTATGGAGAGAGAGGAAGGGAGGGAGGGAGAGGGATATGCCCAACCTATAAATCAGCCACCCGGAGTCTCTTGCTTGACAGGTGGCGTATAAATTTAATAAATAAATAAATAATAAATTATGGAGAATAACAAAAGAGGATTTTTCTCCTCGTTTCTGTCTCAGGTCTGTTTCTTTGCTCCCGGCCCAGAGCCATTTTTAAGTCACAGCAGTGGAACGAGAAAAAGAAAAAAAGATTTCTGCAATTCAGAGAAAATGTCAGAAAAAGCCCAGAAGATCGTTGAAAAAGCCGCCTGCCTTCTGCCTGGGCTGTGACAGGCGAAATGACAGGAGGGGTCTCTCCCCTCTCCCTTCGGAAGCGCTGCTGCCTATAAATTGGGTGGAAAGGATTAATAATACATGCCATATAATATATTCATGATAGTTCTATGGGCATGCTATGGATAATATACATTAATATATAACCACCCTTACAAATAATTCACCGTGTTCTCTCCCATCTAATTACTGGTCACCGGGCAGCCTATTTACTTTATGGTGAGGATTAGGAAGGATTGTTGAGCCCCATCCCAAATTTCTTTTTTTCCTTTCTTTCTTTTTCTTTCCTTCCTTCCTCCCTCTCTCCTTCTTTTACTTCCCTCCCTTTTTCTTTCCTTCCTGCCTTTTCTTTCCTTCCTTCCCTCCCTATTTCTTTTCCTTCCCTCCCTCATCCCAAATTTATTTTTTTTCTTTCCTCTTCCTTTCCTTTCCTTTCCTTTCCTTTCCTTTCCTTTCCTTTCCTTTCCTTCCTTCCTTCCTTCCTTCCTTCCTTCCTTCCTTCCTTCCTTGTAAAGCACCCCCATTCATCGGATTATTAATGGATTCCCAAACAGTCCCGGCGCAAACAATGCGGCATGAATATTTGATGGGCCATCCAGAGCCGGCCCATTCATCATTTATAACAGGCTGCAAAAACACAATAAAACATTTATTATGTGTTTATAGATCACTTCATACCAAAGCAAAGTTGTGTTATAAATGCATTATTAATCCTCCACGCCGTTTATAGGAATCTCTTGTAATAAGGATTTACCATATGTTGCTCTACAACAGGGATAATAAATAGGATGTCTGCAGCTGACGGAAAATAGATGGCCTCTGAAGACTTTGTCCTCCGCAGCCGGTCGTGGCCGAGGGAAGGAAGCCACTTGGACATCTGCCGGCCTTTAGATAAAGCGAGGAAATCAAGGGTGCGCCCGGGAGCTGGGCAGAAGACCTGCAGGAAAGCTCAAAAAGAGTTTTTAGCTCAGGACTGGCCTTAACCAATACAACTTGGCAAGTTTAGGGCTGCCTTAAAGGGCCCGCTCCAGCCTAGCGCTGGCCCTGGGTTCAAGGCACCATCCATTCTTGAGTTTTCCTCCTCACCAGCCCTGACTCTACTTCCGTTTCCTGTTTCCCCTTCTCTTCTTCACCTAAGCCTTACAAATATGCACATATATCCTCCAGATGCGTTAATACGAATAAAGCAAACGAATTGTTGCGTTCGGTTGCAACGCTGCCAATGCAACGGTTGCATTTCACATCGCAATGCGTAACCTGTCTTACCGTGCTGGATTTGATTTATCTGATAAAAAAAAACTGAAGAGGGAAATAATTCTGTTGTTCTGCGTTCTGAAGAGGAGATTTCCGGGGTGTCTCGGGAGAGATACAGGGAGTCCTCGACTTATATGACGGCAATTGGGGCCACAATTTCTGTTGCCAGCCAAGCTGGTGACTGAATGGGTCACGTCCAATTTTACGACCCTTTTTTGCCAAGGTTTTTTAAGCAAATCGCTGCAGTTGTTAAGTGAATCACACGGTAGTTAAGCAAATTCAGCTTCTCCCATTGACTTTGCTTATGGGAAGCTATTTGGGAACGTCACAAACGGAGGACCCCTGACCCCAGGATGCTAAAACCGTTGTAAATACATGCCAGTTGCTAGGTGCCTGAATTTTGATCACATGACCATGGGGATGCTGTGATGGTCGTAAGTGTGAGGACCGCTCGTCTTTTTTTCAGTGCCGTTGTAATTTCGAACGGTCACTAAATAAAACAGTTGTAAGTCGAGGACTACCTGGAATCCTACTTCACTCCGAAGCCCACTTCAGATTGATTCATCCCACCAATTCTTGTAAAAAGGTTGTCCCAGTCTCTGAAATTTGCCCTGCAAATTGTGATCAAGGAAATAGCAATTAAAAACCCGGCGGAGGGAGGTGGAATTGTGGGCTAGTGATAAACCAGAATCGGTATTTAGTGGCTGCTCAGCTTCAGATCGCCCTCAAATATTAACCAATTAACCTCTTCTGCTCTGATGAGGGAGCTAAATTAATATTACGAGGCCCAGACGGCTGGCAGCAAGCAGCTTTTGCCAAAGAGAACCCAAGGGCTTGCAATGGAAAATGTTTATTTGGGAGAAAATGTCACCAGAGATAGCTTGGCGTCCAGTTTTGAAGGTGTTATGGACAGGAGATTCTCCTTGGGTCCTTCCTGAGCCCCAAAACAGACCAAACCTGGTTCT